AGTATTTTATCTTCCTTTGAAATTTAATAAAACCTTATTTTAAAAAGATCCAGCATCTAACCAAAAATATTTTGCACCTGTACCAAAAGACAGCCCATCAAGATCCATGTATAGAAACTAAGACAAGTGGAATCCTATTTCATTCATTTTGACAGTACTCCATGGTAAATGGCAGCACATTGTTCTGTTTTTCTGTATCTTATTACCATTTTCTACCCACCAACAGATAGGGCACAGTGGCTCAGTGGCTAAGATGCTCAGCGTGTCAATTGAAAGGTCAGCAGTTCAGCAGTTTGATTCCTAGTGCCACATAAGGAGGTGAGCTCCCATTACATGTCCCAGCTTCTGCCAACCTAACAGGGACCTCCTTAGGTGGGAAGGTAGCAACGTTCTGTGTGCCTTCCTCATTTAGTCATGCCGGCCACATGACCACTGAGATGTTTTCGGACAGTGCTAGCTCTTTGGCTTTGAAATGGAGATGAACACCACCCCCTAGAGTCAGGAACGACTAGTACATATGTGCGAGGGGAACATTTATCTTTACCTTACCCACCACCCAGGATTTGCTCTAATGGTAGGGCTGGCCTTGCTTTATCTTCTTTGCCTCGTTACTCATTTTTCTGCTGTACCATTTTCAATAATCTAAAATTTCTATTTTGCTTTGCTGTACTTTGTTGCCTAACTTTTCTTTTTCATCACTACATTTGGAAGAACTCAATTATTTTTCTCACTTGCTTTGCTAAATGTAACATTCAGATGATGAATTTCACTCAATGACTCTTGTCATTCATTATCTTTTATTACTTCCTTGAAATCTGGGGGAGAAATTATTCTACTTTATTTATTTCATACATACAGGACTGGCAACTTGGTTAAAAACTCCCTTGTGTTTTTACTACCGAAGTGCCTCTATTCTCTCTACAAAATAAAGCAGATCTACAATAGAAAGTTATAATGCCCACAGACAAGATAAAAACCTGCAATAAATAAACAGATGTTAGTGTCTTTAGTTTAGCTCTTGAAAAAGACTTTTTGGGATATAGTGTATTATCCTGAATATTTTGAAATGTTCAGGATAATACATGGGGAACTTGAGAAGCCAAATGGGAAGCGATAGAAAGAAAGCAGACTTGTAACTAGGGCACTGGTAGTGGGATTTTGACTTGACAACAGCTGCAAAAGGCTGCCTCTTAAATCTTAATTTTGCTATTGCATTGAAGGAGATGGAGCAGGAAATCAGATAAGCAGCAGAAGTATAGGTGTTATTCCCCTTCTGTGAAAGAAAAGGATTTTCTTTCAGACAAAAGAAGGAAAGGGTTTGGTAAGAAATTTATTTATAATCAATATTTATATCCCTCCTCATGTGTTAAATACATTTTATAATCATAATTAAGCACACCATTAGTTCACATAGAGAGCTAGGAAAAGCAAGGTTAGTCTATAAAACGGATGTTCTAGAGCTGGCATTCAGCAGGTTCTGACCACTTCTGGAGAACCAGTAGCAGAAATTTTGAGTAGTTCAGAGAACCGATAAATACCACCTCTGACTGGCCCCGCCCCCATCTATTCTCTGCCTCCTGAGTCACAGCTGATCGGGAGGAAATGGGGATTTTTAACCTTCCCCTAGAGTGAGGTGGGAATGGAGATTTTACATTATCCTTCCCCTGCCACGCCCACCAAGCCACACCATGCCCACCAAGCCACGCCCACAGAACCGGTAGTTTAAAAAAAAAATGAATCCCACCACTGGGGTATTCAGAATGAAAACTAATTTGAGAAATCCAGAAGGTTCTTTATAATTTGCCAAAATTGTTTGAATAGAAGTTAATGTAGGAGGGAAATTCATATATTATTTGGAATTGTTAGGAGGAAATTATGTGGTGCTGGCATCACCTGCCATACTTGGTAGCCTCGTACAACTGACTTGCACACTCAGACTCTCATTTGCCTTCGGTAACCAATATTGCAGCAATAAATAAAAGCAGAGTCATAGTCTGGTGTTTTGTTCTCTACCTTTTCTTCTGGCATTATAGTCTACAGTGAGAAAAAAAAAAACCCTTGCTCATCACCATCTAATTCATCATTGAGTTTCCAATAGTAGCCAGGCCTGTTACACTAGGGAAATTGAAAGTGACTGTGAAGTCAGTATTTCCTCCTGCTGTTCATCTTAGTTCCTATTTCAGATACCGCTTGCAACTGAACATAGAAATTCCATTTTGCCCTTATGCCTGAAAACAGTGCTTTCTATGGGTGGAGCTAGAATGAAGAAGATAGAAAGAAATTTGGGTAAGGAAATAAAGATCAGAGTGAGGAAGTTACATGACAAGCGGGATGTATAACATTTATTGTTATTAGTTGCAAAGTTTTGTCTGACCCATCGTGATCCCATGGAAAACGTTCCTCCAGGCCTTCCTGTCCTCTACCATCCTTTGCAGTCCATTCAAGCTCAAGCCTACTGCTTCAGTAACTCCAACTAGCCACCTCATTCTCTGTCATCCCCTTCTTCTTTTGCCCTCAATCTTTCCATCTCCTCTAGGACTAACCGGTTTGATCTCCTTACAGTCCAAGGGACTCGCAGGAATTTTCTCCAGCACCACAGTTCAAAGGCCTCAATTCTTTGGCCCTCAGCCTATCTTGTGGTTCAACTTTCACAGCCATATATTGCAACTGTGAAAACCATAGCCTTGACTATACGCACTTTTGTTGGCAGGGTGATGTCTCTGCTTTTTAGTATGCTGTCTAGATTTGCCATAGCTTTCCTCCCCAGGAGCAAGCGTCTTTTAAGTTCTTGGCTGCAGTCCCCATCTGCGGTGATCTTGGAGCCCAAGAAAGTACCGCCATTTCTTCCCCATCTATTTGGCAAAGACACTAGAGTGGGTTGCCATTTCCGTCTCCAGTGTATAACATGCCCACACTGAAAAGACTCTTGCTACACCAATCATTTCTCAACCCCTTACCCACATTTCAAATGGGAACCACACTCATCTTCAAGATGGCCTAGTTGTCAGGATGAATAGCGACAAGAACTGGAAATCATACTGTCTGCTTAACTCTTAAATAGCAATAGCACATAGACTTAGATACCGCTCCATAGCGCTCCATGGCACTGTCTGAGCTGTTTACAATGTCAGCATATGCCCCCACCCCCAACAATCTGGATCCTCATTTTACCGACAACGGATGGAAGGCGGAGTCAACCTTAAGTTGATCAGGATCGAACTCCAGACTGTGGGACAGAGTTAGCCTGCAATACTGCATTCTAACCATTGCACCACATGGCTCCTTATTGGCTCCTTATTGCTTAAACCAAAAGCAGAAAAATATACTTGCAGTGGCACATAAGAAAACTTTTTAAGAATACAAAATAAAAGTACCCTAACCCTGTTCCCAGTCAGTTGAAACACGCTCTTGTTTTTGTATTTACTTGATAAACCTTGTATGGGACTGTACCAGAGGTGGGTTGCTCCTGGTTCAGCCCGGATCGGGCGAAATGGTAGTAGCGGCAGCAGGAGGCTCCACCCATCCACCCGGACGCTTCTGCACATGCACAGAAGCATTGCACGAGCGAACCAGTAGGGAACAAATTAGAAACCCATCACTGGACTGGACTATATCTATCTAAGGAAGTTAACTGAATAAGGTAAAAGGAACAATAAAATCAAAACTGAGTTCCTTGGCAAAGCTTTTGGGAACAAGATTACTTGTACCAATGTTATCATCCCTTAACGTTCTAGAAACTGCTAACTCAAGATTACAAATTAGAAAATGTTTCTAAACTTATCTCACTGTTTTATATTTGTGTCTATCCAATTGTATTGTAATAAAAACAGAGCACCTCCATAGTCTGAGATAAATGGCTTTGTCACTGTTAATTTTTAATTCGTCCACTGAATACAAACTCTTCAAATTTTCTAAATCTTTTCCCTCCCATTATCATATATAAACAATCCACAGTGCAAAGAAATCACTCAAGAGCCTTCTTTGGAGAGAAAAATAATAATTAAAAAGCTCTGTAGAGATACATTTGTGAAGGGTAGTTGCCTAGGCCCTAGGTGAATCCCAACAGGTGAGTGTGCTGCATCAGCTGAGTTGCAAGTTGCATATAACCTCTTGGCATCTTTTTGCAAGCAACACCTGTCCTACATCCCATCGGTTCAGATCAACCAGTGAAAAAAAGACACAGCCTGTTTTAGGATGCCTCCTTCTTTTAAAAAGCTGTTTATAATGCGCAGGTTGTGGGAGAGTTGTTGAAAATGGGGCCTCGGGATCCTGAAAGCTGCAGCTGCTGCTCCTAAAACCATCATAATCCGCAGAGCCCAATAGTAAAAAGAGGAGACGAAAAAGGAGAAAAGAAATTCTAGAGATGGTTCCTAGACGCAGACGACCGGGTGTTGTAGGTAGAGGCAGATGTAGGGTCTCCTGCTTGGGCAGGGGGTTGGACTTGATGACCTGCAAGGTCCCTTCTAACTCTGTTCATCTGTTACTTCTGTCTAAAGCAGGACACTCCTCCGAACTATTTTTGAATTCTGTTCCCGATATGCCAGGCTTTCCTTCGGCACACCAAAGCGCGCAGCCGGGTTCCTAGCAGTACCTGCGCTTAGCCCCACTTCCAGGGAAAGGAGGGAGCCGGAGGCTTCCTCGGGGTGCATCTCCATTCCCATCCGCTCAATTCAATCAAACCGGGGGGGGGGGGAGAGGCAGCCACGCGATCGTCCTTCTCTGCCCCCCTCCCCGGCCCCGCCATAGGCAACACTGCCGCAGTAAGCCGTAATTCCTTCCACCCAGAAGCCCTCCCGGCAAAACCCAAATAAAAGCCCCAAAGGCCGGCGGCGGCCGCGTGAGACACCTCGTCCCCCGTCCCCGCTCGGGACTCTGAGCCACGCGAAGAGGCGCCTGCAAGAATCCGCGACCCGCACTCCCTGCACGCCCACCTTCCCCCTCCGCTGCCGCATCCGTCCTCCTCCTCCTCCTCCTCCTCCCCGAGACCTGCAAGCGCTCACCTGGTAGCGGAGGAGACAGTCGGGCTCGTTACTGTCGGCAGGCATGGCTGGCTGGCTGGCTGGCTGGTTGGTAGGCTGACTGGCTGGCGCCGGGCGAGCAGGTGGCTCCGCTCGGCCGGTGGTTTCTCCGTTCGGCCCCTCTGAAAAGCGGCGAGGGAATCACGGGCGCCCGCAGCCCGCCGCGTTCCTCGGCTCCATCTCTCCTCCGGCCCCTGCGAGCAACCAATCTTGGCCCAGAGGCGCCAGGCTCCCGGGATGGAGAGGCTGGAGGCGTGGAAGGAAAGAGCCCGGGTGGATGCTGCGAGGGGCGAGGAGTGGGCTGCGAATGACGAGGGGGCGCGGGAGAGTCAAGGGGAAAAAAACTAGAGCATTGCTATGGGTGGGTTGGTGGGGGTGGGAGGCGTCAAAGAGGGAGGGGCGCAAGGTAAGGCGAGGAGAGCTAGGGAGGGACGAACGAACGGCATGAGGCAAGGGAGGGGGGACATGGAGGGCGGGAACCAGCTGAGGAGGCGGAGGGTTGGGTGAGGTGAGGTGAGGTGAAGGCTGTGTATGGCCCTCAGTTGGTAGTGTGGACAGGAGGTGAAGCAGAATGAGGAAGGGGTGAAGACTAGAGGAAGTCCTTTTGCATTCGGAAGACAGGTGTCCCTATGCAGTGTACACCCCCTCCACACTTCCAGCATGACACACAGAACCTGGTCTGAGGGAAAGTGGAAATGAGGGAAGCATAAAAATGAATCGATTGCTTTTTACAAAGCGTTTTATCTCTACCGATTCTAACTTTCCTCATTTCCCATTCATTCTGTACTTCTTTCCTCTTTCAGTCTCTTGTATCAAATTCAGGGGTGGGTCCCGGATTCCATTCCAACTGGTATGGTTGGAACGGCCCCGGCATCACCCACATGGACACGTGTGGCGCGCGGTCATGCGTCATACTTGCCTATGACGCTTCCACAAGCCTCCGCAATGCTCCAGCGGCTCGGCGGTGCGCGGAAGCGCCAAAGGCTTAAAGGACAGGTAAGCTCGGGCGGATGGGTGGGCCGTCTGGAGTACCGGAATGGTACCCAGTGCTCCAGGCAGGCTCCAGTAAGCCCGTACCAGGGCGTACCTCCTGCAACCCACCACTGATCAAATTCCATCGGTCTTTCAGGTAACTCCTGAAGGTGAAGGGTGTTGAAAAATAGCACAAAATAGTGGGTGCTTTCTCAAAAAGTTCCCATAACCTAGATCAGTGATGGCAAACCTTTTTGTAAACACATGCCAAAATTGTGTATACGTGCGCGATAGCATGTGTGCGTGTGCCCCACACCCGCAATGCAATGTGCCCGCCCACCTGCACATGTGTGCATGACACACACACACCCGTGCATGCATGCACAACCCCCTGCACATGCATGCATGACCACCACCACCACCCCACATGGGGGAGGAGTTTTCATCCTCCCCAGGCTTCAGAAAAGTCTCCAGAGTCTGGGGAGGGCGAAAACTCCTCCCCCATGCGTGCATGCACAACCGGAAATTCATTTCCAAAAACAACCTCCCACGGCCCTCCAGATGCCCTCTGGAAGCTGAAAACAGATTGTTTCCGAACTTCGGGTTGGCCCAATCAGCCCATTTTTCACCCTCCCCTGGCTCCAGAGCCTTTCCTGAAGCCTGAGGAGGGTGAAAACAGCCTCCACTGGCCCTCTGGAAGGCCAAAGATCAGCTGGCTGGTGCACACGTGTGCGCTGGAGCTGACAGCTCACATGCCAGCAGATATGGCTCTGCGTGCCATTGTGGCACCCATGCCGTAGATTCGCCATCACAGACCTAGATCCTTCCCACATTAATACCCTAAGTTAATAACAATATTTTACTGTCTCTTGCCCTCCATGCTCCCAGTCTCTCTATCCTGCTAACATCTTTGCCCCCCCCCAAAAAAACCTGTTTGGCGAAATTGAAAGAGATAACCTGAATTATATTGTCAGCATTCTTAAATATGTATGGTTGGAACAGGCCTGGCGATTGGAGACATCCACATGGACGTGCACAGTGTGCGCATGAGTCTTAGCGCCTCTGCGAGCCTCTGCGATGCTCCAGCTGCTTCGCGGAGCGTCGTACAGGCGCTGTGCATGCCATGCCGAAGCACGGAAGCCTTAAAAAACCGGTAAGGATCTCGAGTGAGCAGGTAAGCCCTCTGGAGTACAGTAATGGAACGGTATCGGGTGCTCCGGGCAGGCTCTGTATGGTCATTTTAATTAATTATGCACACATTCTCAGAAAAAAAACACATTCATATTCCTTTCTTGGAGCAGTTATTGTTTTATCATATAATTTTAGTTTCCTATTTTCAATTTTGAACACAACAAAAGAAGAATGTTCAAAAGATACAATTCCCCTGATTTATCTGAGGAGCTGAAGTAAAAGATATTTAAAGTCAAGGAACTGGGTTTTGTAAAAGTGAAGATAAAAACAATTTATTAAAAAGAGTAAACCACTCAAAAGAATGACACCAAGTAATCTTTGGAACCAAGTACTTTTGTTCTCTTTTGAAAGGATGTTTTAAAAATTCTAAGTCACTCTTGCAAATGGAATTAATTGATAGAATGGATTCAGCTTCCATAAACATTTTTAGATGCTCAAAGAGAAATTAGTCTTGAATTTTAGTCTTGAATTTCTCAAAGAGAAATTAGTCTTGAATGGTCATGGAAATGCCCTGGGATGAAGTCTGGAGATACTCTGTTCATTGCTTTGTAGGAAATAAGACAATCACTAGGTAACACAGGAAAGCCAGTTTGATGTAGTGGTTAAGTTACCAGGATGTAAGCCAGGAGAATAAGAGTTCTAATCCTCCCTCAGGCACAAAGCTGGCTGGATGACCTGGGACCATCATTAGGTGAGGAGCATGTGGGTTGTTAAACAAAGGCCCCACATGACCACAATTTCCAACTTCCTGCTAACTTCCACATTGTGAGAAGTTAGCAGGGAACATCGGAAATCACCATCACATGACCACTGGGATGCTGTAATAGCCAGACGTCTGAGTAAGGAGCTAGCTGAGATGGCTAAATTAATTTATTTGATGAAAGAAAAAACAACATCTACATTTACTATTGACTGGAAACCCTTTATGAACGTATGTGTTATGGATTTGGTGATGAGACAGGATGAGTTATGGAAACAGATTAACAGAGTTGGAAGGGACCTTGTAGGTCATTTAATCCAAACCCCCACCCAAGCAGGATACCCTACAGCATTTTTGACAGATGGCAGTCCAGTCTCTTCTTGAATGCTTCCAGTGATGAAGCTCCCACAACTTCAGAAGGAAGAAAGGAATTTCAGATTAACAGAGTTGGAAGGGACTTTATACTGTAAGTCATCTAGTCCAACACACACACACACCGCCCAAGCAGGAAACCCTACACCATTTCTGACAGATGGCAGTCCAGTCTCTTGTTGAAAGCTTCCAGTGATAAAGCTGCCACACCTTCCAAAGGAAGCTATTCCATTGGTTGATTGCTCTCCCTCACAGAAAATTTCTCCTTGATTCCAGGTTGAATCTCTCCTTGTTCAGTTTCCATCCATTATTCCTCCTCTGGCCTTCAGGTGCTTTGGAAAATAGCTTCACCCCCTCCTCTCTGTGGCATTCTTTCTGTTGGAAATAGGAAGAAGAGAGAGATTACCTTGTAACCACAGAGTAAGAGGTAAAATATATAATTGTACTTATAACTACTATAAAAAGATTGGAAGCTACTTCTTTGTATCTTTTTTCTTCTGTTTCTATTTTTCTTTTACTTTTTTTTAACCCTTTCTTGCATTTTCAGCTTTCTCTTTCAAATGCATGCTTAAGACAACTCTGAGTGCCAAAAAAACCCCAAACCCTCAGAATGTTCTGCTTGCCCTGAAAGTCCTGGGATCCAACATTTTTGAGACAAGATCACCAGGAATCACAAACCATTTACAACATCTCTTTTTTACTTTGTCATCGTTTACAATCTACCCTCACTTTGCTGGTAATCTCATTACGTAGCCAGCAGTTGCCATCTAATGGACAAAATATTCATTGGCCTTTTTAGCATGTTATGAGTAAAAACACTTTCGGTTTTTGTACTTCTTATAAACAATTTTTTTTGACTGTAAGAAATATTATTTTGGACAGTAAAATACTGGAGTGATATGAGTTAATGCAATCTGAACAGTTTCAGACCCATATTTTGATGAGCTCAGAATTGCTAATAACGATGTGCAAATGGAAAGAGATACATGTTTGCCACTTGAGAATACTATGGGAAGATAAAGCAGTGGCACAGAGTATCAAATCATGCCAGCTTTTTTGAGTACAAATGTTCAATAGCAACAAAACTGGTCAGCACAATCTCTCAACCCTGCTGTCGCTCACAATGATGCTTGGAACACGGGCAGAAGTCAAAGAGAAACGCTTTTTGAAATCGAGCATACAGATAGTCCTCAGGTTACGATCGTTTGTTTAACAACAGTTCAAAGTTATGACACCACTGAGAAAATTGGCTTACAACCCATTGTCAGAGTTTTGGGTGCTTGGCAGCTGGTTGAAATTAACACAGTCGCTGCATCCTGTGGCAACATGATCATGGTTTGCGACCTTCCCAGCCAACCTATGACAAGCAAAGGGAAAAGCTGACCACATCATTCACTTAACAATTATGAAAATGGCCATAAAATCAGGCCCAGTGATGTGATGAGTCACTTAACGGCTGCATCACTTAGCAACCAAAATTCTGGTCCCAATTTTGGTCACAAGCTGAGGATTATACCCATCTAGTTTTGAAAGTGATGATTCATGACTAATTCAGAGACTATCTACAAACAATAACTACCCCCAACTTGGAATCAGGTTGTTTGGGAGGCTCTGCTGTTAGTTGCAAAGTCATGTTCAACCCGAGACTCCATGGACAACGTTCCTCCAGGTCTTCCTGTCCTCTACCATCCTCTGGAGTCCACTCAAGCTCACGCCGACTGCTTCACTGACTCCATCCAGCCACCTCATTCTCTGTCATCCCCTTCTTCTTTTGCCCTTAATCGCTCGCCGCATTAGGCTCTTCTCCAGTGAGTCCTTCCTTCTCATTAGGTGGCCAAAGTATTTGTTATGCATTGTTTTTATTTGTTATGCGATGGCTTTAACGAATATCCCTTTCTGTAACAGATATGCCTCCCAAAACCCTGCCCCCTTCACCAAAATGGCCATGCATAGCCTTTAGGAAGCTTCCTACATGCAAAGTGTTTGACTGAATTCTTTGGGAGAAGATGTACAAATGAAGCAGT